TATTTTTTATACAAGTCAAGGTCAATATACCTTTTCTACAATATATATATATTAAAATGGAAACGGCTAAATATCTTCTTTGTGTTGTTGTAGTTATTGGTTCGGGCTTCATGATGTCATTTGTGCTGCATGCCATTGGAAATTGCCTGGCATGTCACAGGTTGCTGACCTCTGCTATGGTCATATTTCATATATATATATGACTTATATAAAAGTTTTAGAAGTTAATGTTTCAGGGAAAATTAATGACTGTACTGATTCTAGACAAATTATACAGCTCTACTAAAAATGCTATTTGAACAGTTACATCATGTCTAAAATCATTATCTGTTATAGATCCAAGAGGAAAAAATTAGTCTTCTGTTGTTTTCTCAGTTTTAGCAAAATGTGTGGAGCTGAAGCTTCTCCCTGCAATAACACACCCTCTATTGTTGCAAATGCTGAGTAGTGAGTTTGGACCTCCCTGGGTGCCACCATATTTGTGGTATTGTATCAAGACTACAATTAGTAAACAACTGTTATGTACTGATGTGTATTATTGATAAATTCTGGTTAATGGATTTTTGAATCGATTGATAATTTATGATGAATTTCACTTACATGATTTTGGAGATTGAATTAGTGATTTTAAACCTGGAATTTTGTTGTATAACTTGCTTATTTTTGAAGACTATTCTTACCTGCAAAAATTTTGGCTGATTTAATATTAGAAAATTTATGAATTAAAATTCAGAATTTTGAAAATATTGAAATATGTAGGAAGTAAAAAAAAAAAAAAAAAAAAACTTTAGAGGAATAAAGATTACCATACAAAACAATCTCATAATTATTCATTGCCTGAATTTATTTAGATGAAGCATTTACATTATTATTAATTTCAAACTAGTTTATCTTTCATCTTGTTTTTGTTACTCTTTTTTATCACATTGCTTAGATTTTTTAACCTATTTTTTTTTGTTTGACAATTAAGCAATCAGCTTGGATTGAACATTGCAATAAAAATTGATGAAAATATTCTACTCATTTCTTTGTACACAAGGACACATGGCACAGTGGATAAAGGCGTTAGTTAGATCCAGTGACAGGACCCAAAGAGTGTGAGTTCAATACCCAGTTAAGGCAGTGGAGAACTTTCAGAGGGGAATTAACAGGAGATAACTGATAACTGACATCCATTAAACATGACACGTGGAACGAGAACAGTCTACCCCAGTGAGCGAAATAAAAGGTTCAGTTCGACATTCCAACCACCTGAAGAAGGCCGGAGCATACAATGGCCAAAACGTTGTAATAAATATGGCGACAAAGATTAGGACAATAGTTCGTATAATGTACATAATACCTCATCTCAGAAACATAGACAAATATATCTATAATTCTCAAAATTTGTGTGTGTTTGACTGGATGTTGTTTATACGTTTCCACAGTTTTCATCCAATTTTGATGAAATTTTTTTTTTTGTTTGATAGATAATTCTTCAGTGCTGGTTTTGAGTCCAAATTGGCTGGAAAAAAATTACAACCTTGAAGGCAAAAAATAAAAAAAACTTTTTTTTTTTTTTTTTTTTTAAACACTTTCTGCAAAAATCAAAGGCAAAATTTAATGTCTGTAAAAAAACAGTCTACAATCAATTTAGAGAGTTGAGATCTAACGCAAAAGGTTATTAGAATTATAAAAGAAATTATATTATGAATAAAAATTATCATATATTATTATTATGACGGTTCAGGGAAGAGGTTCCTTCCTTGCAAGATTGAGAAGGCAAAAACATAGTTTGCGATTTAAAGAACTCAGGTTTTGGCTTGAATTGGAACTTCAGCCCAAATCGGACTTTCAGACGTAATTGGACTTATAGCCAGAATCAGAGTTAAAGTGGGGTTTTGAAGTTCCATGGAGTAAATTAAGGAATTCAAAATTATTTCAAAATTATCATTGATGTTTTCTAAGTTGAACCAGAGATCACTTTAGTTTTGGGCTGGAAGCTTAATTAGCCCTCCATGGTAGCTAGCTTAAAAGTCTGCATGGAGTGTGGCTTTTAAGCTAGTATTATCTAAAATATTATCTTTTTTCTTTTTTTTTTTATTTCTTTCATTGGCCTACCATACATTATATATATATATATATATATATATATATATATATATATACACACACACACAAATATTATAGGTAAAAAAATGTGGAGCCAGAATCTGGATTTCAAAGTTCTGGCCAAGCAAGGCTATAGACCCCAATCTGTCCTAATATTCAACTCATAGCTGGGGGAGTAGAAATAGATTCATACCTTTTGTGATTGTAATGAATCTGACTGGAATTTGAACTCTGCTATCCAATTTCTCATTCTGAGCTGCTACCCATTACGCTACGCTACGCCATGCCAATTGCTATTTATTTATTACTTTAAATGCAATGTTGCATCATTTCTACAATGTCATTATATAGATTCATTCATCTTTATGTAATAGAATCTTTTGATGAAATAAAGTATTGCAGACATAAATACCGAGTGTAACAGCAAAATTGTCCAATTGTTTTCGACCATTGTATCTTAGAAATGATTAAAGATATCTTATTGGAATTCTGAGGTTTTTATGACACTATTGGACTCTACTTAGAGCTAAATAAATTCTTATTGTTCAAAGTTGAAATGATCCCTCTTGATCCAGTTTTCCTTTCTAATGTTTCCTCTTTTTTAACCTTATTCACCATTCTCTTGTTGGTTCTTGAATGGACTTTGAAAAATGGAAGCCAGAGTATGAATGTTGGTACCATGAAGGCCTGAATGATCTTTTTTGTTTCACCATTGCTCAGTTGGGAAGACATTGTGGGACTGACAAAAAATGATTTAACCGGTTCTTTCTAGCTGAATAACTTGAAAGGTTTTTCAGTGATTCTTAGGGCAAATGGTATCAAAATGGCTAAAACATCTTATCTGAAAACCTGGAAAAAAGAAACTCAATTGGTTTAGTGTTTTTTTTTTTTTTTTTTTTTAGATATTAAACATTTTGTGGGATGAACAATTATCTCATGTTGTTACATGATTTGGACAGTTTTGCTGTTACATCCGGTCTATGTGTGTCTGTAAAAATTCAGATATAAATAAATGTATCTTTAAAGACAATGCTGATAAAAGAAAGAAATGACAAGAGGATAAATCTTTCCTTAACAACAACAACAACAGATTTTCCAATATTTTAGAGTGTTCCCTAATGCAAATGTAAACTGTTAGTTTTTCTGTGTACATAAATAGAAATTCATAAATAAAATTTCTACATTTGCTTTGATAAAGATCCTTAACAAAGAAAATACATTTGCATAAAAAGGCTTTCCTCACCTAATTTCTTTTTTTATATAAAAGTTGACATTGATATCAGCACCCAGCAGTGACATTCAGTGTCAGGCTTAAATGCAATCTTAAGACCTTTTGTGTTGTGTTGTGTTTTTGTCTAGACTATTTATATATGCTGGTCACTGGTGCATTATGGGTAGATCTATTGTATTATTCTAATGGTTACTAGGTGGGCAGTCAGTTATTTATTTTTTCAAATTATTCTAGGCGCTTTTGAGTGGAAATAATTGTGGATTCGAATGCAGTTTTGTAGTTATTTTATAGTGTTGTTTGTTAACTTTTTTTCTCATTATTGATTGCTTTATTTGTTATTGATTGTTGTTATTACATTTACTTGTGTTTATTATGTACATTTGTAGTTTAATTGGTGCCTTGTCGGCTGGGGCTTCAGAATACACTGACTGCACCTCTGTAGAGGGGTAAGACCCCCCCCACACACACACACACACCATGAGGTGTCCTGAGTATGACTATAAACTGCATCCAGTAGTGGGCCCCTCTGATTGGGAGGTTTTGAGGAGTGTGGAACCACCTCTTTTTTTTTTTTTTTTTTTATGGTAAAAATACCAGCAATACATTTTTTTTTGTTTTGTAAAATTATTACCATTAAAAAAAAAAATTACCAGCAATACATTTTTTGAAATAAATATTACTGGCAACACATTTAACTCGACAAAAACCCTCTTTACAAAAATATGTCAATAAAACCTGATCTACAAAATGATTTTTTACAAAGAATACGTATTCTATTCTTACAAACCTATCCTAAAAATCTTGTCGACATTAAAATAACCCATTCAGGTTGATATGATGTAAAACAAAATAAACCAAACCAAACTGTAATTTAATTTGTTTATTTATTTATTGATTTGGATTATTTTATTTTTTTTGTAATTGTTTTTAGTTTATAATTTGTAAGTCACATAGTAAAAATTTATTTTTTGTTACTATATTTTGAGATGATTGTTTATTTAGTAATTTGTGTTGGTCTTGGAAGGTAATTATAGCTATTTTCTTCAGACAGAGTTTATAGTTTTTGGATTTATTGTTGCAAGCTCTGCTATTTTCTTTATTTTCCATGATAATTTTGGTGTGATTTAGTTTTTTAATTTCCCATATATGTTTAGAAAGCATTGTACTGTTTGTGCATTTACTATTTGGAAAGGATATTTTGCATGCATACATATGCTCTATCCCTGATATCATAGAGATAAAGTGTATGTTTATTCATAACAATATGTTTTTATGTTCTGATTATTACCCACCTTGATGAAAAAAAAAGAAGGGTTTTAAAAACACCAAATGGAATAGCTGCAGCTTCTCCAGATGATAGAAAACTTAGTGATACAACATTAAATAAGATGGAAAACAATATTCAAGTAAAGATGATCTTTAACAGTAAAAAATTAACTTTCATCATTCATTGATTTGTTATAGAATACCAAGAAGCACATATTAACATTTGAAATAAAATTATTTATTCAATTATATGGGATATTGTTAATCAAAGTTTTTTGTGACTTCCATATTTTGCATTGATTTATAAATAAAATTTTGTTTCTATCTGAATTTCAGGGATGAGAAGTTATCATTATTTACATTTGGACCAATATCCTTATCTTTGTTGTTATCACTGTGTTTCAGTTGTGCTTACAGCCACACCACATTGAAACACAGGTTCCTGTATGATCACCAATATTAAGCAATGTCAAGACTGGTCAGTACCTAGATGGGTGACCACTTGGGAATACCATGTGCTATAAGCTTGGATATGTGGATGATGTAATGAATAATGGCTCAGAATTTTTAATTGAACAGCCAAGTTCCAGTTCCCATTGGGTTTATTATGTTCATTACATGCAAATACCCTTGGGAAAAGTATGAATCTACCTCTTTTCCCCAGCTATGGGTTAATTAGTAAGTCTTGTATCACTAAACACTAAGTCATTATCTCAAAAAAAAAAAAAAAAAAAAAAAAAAAGTTCTTACAATCTGAAAATATTTTCTGGCAAAGGGTTGATAAGCCATAAAAAATGAATGATGATTCATTCATTTTTTATGGCTTATCAACCCATTGTTTCCATTGTCATGCCTTCTGACTTTTAATTATCTGAAGGGGTCCAGTTTGAAATTTTCTGAAGTTTACCCAGATCCCAAGAAACCTGATGAAGGTTGGAGATACAACAGTTGAAATGTGATGATGACAATGAAGATAAGGACATTAGTTCAAATGTAAATAAAATTTTGTGTTGCCTACCATTTGTTTGCAGAATAAAATGTATCACTACCCCCCCAATATTCATATCAATAATTTTTTAATAGATATTATAAGCTGAAACTTGAATGATAAATTTTACTAATGTCAGTATCTACTGAAAAGTTTACTAATATCTGCTACAGTGAAATTATCTTTCTGCATCAAATGTTGAAAACTATATTAAGAAACTTTTACTTTTTTTTTTTTAATGGATGAAGTCAAGAAAAAGAAAATTACCATTTAATTTTCTGATTTCTTATTTCTTTTTTTATATAAATAGAAATTTAAAAAAAATAATGAGAGAATATATTTTTTTCCTTTTGTCTCCTGACTTTAACAATCTTTTCTTAAACTGCAATAAAATAATAATTTCAGACAACATTAGAAAAGTGAGATTCAATTCTTAAGTAATTTGTGCTATATTTTTGTATTCTCTTTATCAACACCTTGTTAAGTGTCTGTATTTTCTCAGATAATGTTTTAATTTTATTACCATTCTTTGTATTTGCTTCTCTCACTTGAGTTTTTCTATGATGTACAAAATTAAGCAGTTCTCATGAAGAATTTTTTTTTTTTTTTTCTCAGTGAAAATTTCTTGTATCTTTCACAATGATTCTTTTTCTTCAGGTGTAGAAACACTTTCTTGTCAATGTATTTCATTTTATACAAATATTTTCCCATCCTGGGTATGATGATAAACAACATCCGGCAGCAAGGCCTCTGATTGGAAGACTGGAGGTTTAGAGGAGCATGGAACAACCCTCTTAACTTCTGTTGTTTCCAGGTCCACCCCACCCAGGGTGGTTTCAAATTTTAGGGACCCAGCTATGGGAAAATAATGATACTCCAAACATAAAACAGCAGTACATTTTTATAGTAAAATTACCAGCAATACATTTTTTATGATCTACAAACTAATATATATATATATATATATATATATATAAAATATGTATTTAGGCAGCAATCCTTTCATGCATATTTCATTGAATATGACAGACAAGGTACTTTTAGTTAGTTTTTTTATACAATTTCTCATGTGAGAAATAATTTTTTCTTTTAAGATGATAAATTATATAAAAACTGTCCGAATGTTTTTTTTGTTTTTTTTTTGGAGCGCTTTGGCTATACATTTAGCCATTTTCAAGGATTAAGTATTTTAACTGTTAAATATGAAATAGTTTGTTACATGTATGTTTTATAAATATTTTTCATTTTTTGGAAAAAAACACGCTCAAGATATTGATAAAAAGAACATTCGGACAGTTTTTTATATAATTTATCATCTGAAAAGAAAAAAAATTAGATCGCATGAGAAATTGTATAAAAAACTAAATAAAAGCACTTTGTCTGTCATATTCAATGAATTGTGCATATATATATATATATATATATATATAATCTTACCCAGAAAGTATAAAATTATGTACAAAATATTTAGATTTCAGCATTAAATAACTCATAGATGTTGATATATCATTGAACAAAACCAACCAACCAATATTTTCATAACTTAACAAAGTCATTATATCTTTCTGGGACAGTAGATTTTAGTTCACTTAATATAAATTTGACTTGACAGCAAGTTAAAAGGAAGAATTTAAAAACAAAAAAAACTAGAAATCTTATTTCTATAAAACACAGTAAAACTTTTTTCCTTACTAGAATAAAAAAAAAATACATTTTGTTAATACTTGGGTGGGGGAAGGCAGTTTTTAAGAAAATAGAAATGAATACTGATATTGATGATGAGAATTTATTCCAAATAACAGAAACCACATTACTTGAAGACTTCCAACAGCAGAAACAACTAAAATGGATAACACATGTAACTCGGAGAGAATGACATAATCAAGATGTTGACATTCCACTCTACTCCAAGCAAAAGGTTAGGAAGGAAACCTCTATCAGTACTGGAAAGAGCGATAACAGTATAGTGGACTTGAGAAACCTGTTTTGCTGAAAAATTGTTTTAAAAGAAAGAATTTATAAATTTCAACCGAAAGTAGCACTGGCTTCTTGGAAATTGAATGCTGAATATTTCTACATAAGGAAACAGCTAGTTTTGTGATTAGAGATGAGAACAGATATTACACTTTGATCTCAGCTCAATGACCAAGGAGCAAAAAAATGTATAACTCAAGTAGCATTGGTTGTTTGGTCAATGAATGCCAAATGTTTCCATATAAGGAAATGGCTAATGTTACCATTATTATTATTATCATTTATTCTGTAGAATACATTAAAATTCTAATATGTCTGTCTTTAGGTCACTTTCAAGAAAAGTGTATTTAGCTCTTGTTTTCAGTGGACAAAGTAAACATGTTTCTTAAATTTGTAGTTATTTTTAATCCAATATTAGATGAATATCAAATTTAAAATATCCCTGCCTACATATGAAAAATGATCATGTTAATTTTTTCTTCATGCTTGACAGTACAGTGAGAAAATAGCATTTATAAATTAAACTTGCTAGGTGTTTTATGAATTATACAAGAAAGCTAAATTCAGATTTGAATGAAGAAATTAGTGATATTAGCAATGATATTATTACTTAACAACAACAATTTTCCTAAAAAGGAAATTGTATCAATTTTCCTCTGGGATATTTTGTTCCTTAGCTCTTAGGATATATAAAAATTTAATGTTAAAGAACTTCTTTGAGAAGTGGAAAGGATGATATTAAAAATGAGCTTATCTGAACTCATACATGTCGTTATAACATTGTAAATAATATTAATAATAAAATAATAGAAATCTATTGATATATGTAAAATTATATAATTCATCATATGCCAAGGCAAACAGAATTCCTGTCAATGATGTGCTCAATATTTACCTAGAGCAATAATAAAAAAATAAGTATTGTGAACTTTGAATATTTTTTATATAATAATGGTAATATTAGTCATTTCCTTATAAGAAAATATTCGGAATTCATTGACTGAGTAGCTTGTACTACTGTCAATTAAAATTTATAATTTTTCTCTTAAGACAAATTTTCAAGAAAATGGGTTTCTCAAGACCAATAGCTGTTGTTTTTTTTCCAGTGGGAATTTCCTTTCAAACCTTTTATTTGCAGTAGTGTGGAACATCAACATCTTGATTGTCATGATTATTTTTTCTTGGAACATGTGATGTCTATTTTAGTTGTTGCTGCTGTTGATAGTTCTTAAGTGATATGATTTCTATTATTTGGTACAGTTCTTTGTGATTATATAGCACTGATCCACAAGGTTTGAAGTGTGGATTTCACTTGCTCAAAGCCACTTTTAACCATTGATCCAAGAAAGCCAAGGCTATTTAAGAACATGACGTGAGTTTTCAGGTTAATCTCTTGGTTTTGTAGCAATTTGCAGAGTTGTGTGAAATTTCCTCTAATGTAGTCTACACTGTGTTCAGTGTCTTGATCTCCTATACTAAATTTGTTATAACTGATCCATATATTAAAGTATTTAGTATTTTTCTAAATTCACACCCTGAATTTTTATGATGGATTCAAGGCAGGTGTCATCACTGCTTTCATTTCAATTTCAGATGATAGGACAAAAAGTAAATCTTTCCAAAACAGAAACTACTTCTTGGAATATTTGGTAGAGGATGTTGATTTTCTAGTAGTATAATTAAGGAGATAACTTATAGAAGGTGATATTAACTTTGGGGAATTTGAACAGTTTGAATGATCTGTTCTTCTGATATGATACTTGGTCTTTACAAATGTTTTCTTGCATATTTCATACATCTCTCTTGAAATCACTCCATCATAAATTTCTATTTTTTTCTTTGAGAAAATCATTTTGCACTTTAAGTTCTCTGAGTTTCATAACATCTCAGCTAAACATAAACAGATTCAGATGAATTGAGAGATTAAAAGAAAGGACAGACAGTTTGATGCTGGATAGCTAGCTTGTTAATAATAGATAAATACTGGTGCACACAGGTGGCTCTTATCAAGGTCGACAATGAGTGTAATACCTTTCATTGTTACTACCTACCCAGGGAAGAGTGGTTTACCCAAGTGCTCACTTACTGTTTTCTTGTAATCAACATGATATACACAGAGATGAAACATTTTTGTAAAGATATCTTTCTTATGGACAGTGTAGGGAAGTGGATTTTTAACTTTTTCCATGTCTTTGTGCTGCAATTTCAACTTAATTTTGAACAAACTTTGTTGATTCTGTTTCTTGTGTCCATGATTGTTAATCTACTTTATATTTATGAACAGATCAATGACAATGAATCTATCAGAAACTATATAGAAATTGAGTGCTGGTGTTAATTAAAAATTTATATATATTAATAAATATACATATTTTTTTTTTCCTCACATGTTGCACAGTGGAATCTTCAGGTGTTGAATTCAGGCACCTGAAGATTATGTTGTACTATAGGCAAGGGAAAAAAAAATGTGTGTATCTCTCTCTCCCTCTTTCTATATATATATATATATATATATAAAAGAAATATAATGTAGTGGTTCCAACGAGAGAAAAGTATGTATA